CACACACACACACACACACACACACACACACACACACACACACACACACACACACACACACACACACACACACACACTCATACACACTCCTGACTGAGGGTCTACCTTGAGGGATTATGTGCAGAGAGACAGGACCCTCCAGCCAATCAACCGCTCTGTCACATTGATTTTGAGGGGTCACTGGTGCACAATGGCCAGGGTTTTCCTGTCGTAACCTGTCTGATCACACACACACACACACACACACACACACACACACACACACACACACACACACACACACACACACACACACACACACACACACACACACACTCATGCATATGCACAGACAATAACATCATTTAAATAAAACAAGGAGCTGAAAAGGTCTTTTGAATAGGAAGAACATTTAACTAGATCAAACACATTCGTTTTAGTAAAAGCTGAAACTGTGACAAAATCATAATAATCTCATGGTAAAAAGAGCTTTTCCAGAGGCTGCTGCAGTGTATGAATCAGATATGTGCACACACATGCATCTCTGCTATTTCAAATTCCCCTTCCCTGCTTCTAAAATATCCCCTCATCCCTGGGGGAAAGCACACCCAGCTGGGGAAGAGCGGGGGTGGTTAAAGACTCCTTCTCCTTCCTGGTCAAATGACACAATAGTCCTGGATCAGAGAGGGCACCAGGCAGGCATTATTTCAAACGGAAACAAACCGGGTCACTGCCAGCAACCGACTCAGGTGCAAGGCTGACCGTGTTGTCCGACGTCATCCACTCTCTGTCTCTGCTGCTCGAGCCTTTTGTTGCTTGTTTCCCTTTCCTGAGAGGAATATCAGAGGTCTCTGGAAAAACAGGATTCAAGCAGGTCTGCTAGTTYTTTAGTTAAGTAAATATAACAACGTAAAAACATTGTTTTTTTTAAAGTAAAATGTCTCTCAGGGAAAAACTAACAAACGCAATGTCAAAAAAATACCCTCAAAGGCTGCAAAAAAGCCCGGTTTGACATACAAAAAAATGTATGGAACAGAAAAGCAATGTAAATGCTACAGGTTAATTAACATTGTTTTTCAAATTTATCTGGAAGTTTTTGTGGAATAATATGAAGCTTATTTAAGAAGGTTGGATTAAACCATCTAAAAAGTTTAGATGAAAATAAACCATCACTGTTAAAAAAGCCAAGAAAAAGTTACCATCTTGAGAATTATACCCAGGAAAAGGAATACAGTGGAACAGTCTGTTTATTTTTGCTGCCAAGTAAACTTTCTGGTAATCTTGTGAGCAGTTTTAATTTTAAAGAACATCTAAAAATGTTTTAATATACTTTGTTTTTTTGTATATTATGTTTGAAAAGGAACTGAAGTTTTTATTTTTGTTTTGTTTTTTGATTATTATTGTTTGAAATTAATTTTGCAAAAAAGGGGCAGATATAAGATTTTTTTTTCTTCTTTCTGCCTCCTTTCATTTCAAGTGTGATATTTTTTCTTTATTGTGTATAAA